AACACACGTCATCATCTCTGACAACCATAAATAAGTGTCGTCAAGGTAACGAAGCTGTCTCCTCATCATCATCGCCATCATCATCCTCCTCTCGGTTCTGCGATCTGTCGTAAGAGTGATGTGTAATAATCAAATAATGTAGTAATTATGGACTGCAAACTCATTAAAACACATTTAAAAATGTCCTTTCATTTGCAGGAGCACGATTAAATATTCTGCTTTATGTCGTACCCAAGAGGTGTGTTTCCAAATCCAGCCAGTATTTACAATGGAACATCACATAAACGAGTTTAATAACGAGCAGATCTGGACAGCTAATTAAAGGGCCGCTGTACCACGGAGCTGACCTCGCGTCGCTCAAACAGTGTGTCGAGTTCAAGATCACTTCAACAATAATCATCTTAACACATTGCTCGTTTGTAAAAAAAAAAAAACAAATAAAAATAGCATGTGCGGTACAGATGTGTGTGTGGTCAGAGGTGCGCATGTGTTTCTGCAGAACTGTTAATTATTTGAGCTGTAAAGTGTCTAGATTGTCCGACCACTTTCCTAGCATGAACTTCTTCTGTTTGTGTTACTGATGTCATTCCTGAGCTTGTGAACTGTTCCTCACTCTATTATTGTGCTAATGTAAGAAATATTACATATATAATGTGAAACAGAAAGGTTAGAAAGTGAAGTTCTACAGTTGGCAGGAGTTCGGGAATCGGACCCGTGACCTCAGCGTGTTGAGGTCACACTTTATTTTAAGGTCTTTGTTACAGTGTAAGATTACAATAGGGTTAAGGTAGGATTGTGATCAGGATGAGGTAAGTTGCATGTAATCCGTAATTTATTGTTATTACTATGTGTAACAAAGACGCTGTAAAATAAAGTGTTACTGAAGTTGTCTCATGCTAACACATACAATGTTTGTTTTTTTACTTTTGTAACAGTGTATTTAAGTGTGTGTTGCCTGCCGGATCTGGATCTGTCACTCTTGTAACCCGTACACTGATCAGTCTCACTCTGATTGGATCTTCTTTACCCTAAAAAAGCTAACCACTAACCACGAGGCTTCATATAGACTGCAGTCTTCATAAGTGCCTCATACACTCCTCATTCTGCACTCTAAGCGCATTAGACTTTGGCATTTGCTGGTTGCTGATCTGCTGATCCTGTACGCCGACACACAGAAACACAGATGATTCCAGCAACACAAGCGAGATTCTGTGCTTCACAAACACTTCCCATAATGCAGTGCATACACAACTGACATCTTCATGTCTCTGCATGAATAATAACTACTGTATGAAATGACCCATGCACACGTTTCTGTGAGGATCTGTCCACACACACACACACACACACACAGTGCAGTGCCACGCTCCAGAGTTTCAGGATAAACCGTGTTTTCAGCCAAATATACTCCAACAACTGGGTAAAATAGCCCATTTTTCATTTGATTGAGTTGCTTTGATGCTTCTCAGTATTAATTGAATATTTCTTTCATTGAGTCATGATTACTTTCATGATTTCATGATTACTTTACTATACTGTAAGGTTCATTAGTTATCATTAGTTAACTACCTCGGTTAACATAAACTAAGAACAATACTTTTACAGCATCTATTAATCTTAGTTCATATTGTTTTCAACATTTACTAATACATTAGTAAACTCAAAGGTTGTATTAGTTAACATTAGTTACACATGTATTGCTCATGTTTAGTTCATGTTAGGCCCTGTTTACACGAGAACGATCGCGGGTGAAAAGTAAAAATATTTTATCGGATGTGCCTTTCGTTTACACGGTGACGGCGTTTTTGAGGCTCAAAAACGCAAAAAAGTGAAACCGCCCTCCAGAGTGGAAATCTTAAAAACGCTCCACCGCCGCGTTCCCGTGTAAAACGGTAAAAACGCAAAAGTCGCTTGACGGTGAAGTTGGTATACGCAGGCGCGTGGACTTGGTGTTGTTGTAGTATGCTCTCCTAGCCGCCTGAAGTGCATACTACATTGAATTTCACACACTTTTGCGTCTCCATTTCCCACACAAAACGCTCGTCTAAACGCAGAATAAAAAAAAGATGACGCAACGCCACTTTTGCGTTTTCTCTTCAGAATCGTTTCCGTGTAAACATAGCCTCAGTTAACACATTAACTATTGTTAACTAATGAACCTTATTGTAAAGTGTGACCTCTATATTTTAACCTAATTCTCCAGTGAATGTGTCCTGATTTAAGAATGTTTCGATATTCCGGCTGGAAACAAATAACATAAGATAGAGAATGCAAACGCTGGTCTCGAGGTTCGAGCGCTAAACATCCAGGTTTATGACGGCTCTATGATTTCATTACACTCTTTACAGTGTTTGAATGACCTCTAGAAGCGGGTAATAAGAGAAGAGTGTGTGAGGAGCGTCTGCAGTGTGTGTTGGTCTGCCTCTCTCTGGAAATCTCCAGAAAGTTGACGGTGAATCACTGGATTCGGCCCCTCAGGATCCGCTCTCGACGCCTGGTTCCTAGCCGTGACGATCATCCTCATCATCATCATCATCATGGTGTGTGTGTGTGTGTTATATGGGTGGTGTTACCAACACGATGTCCCCTCATGAAGCCGCTCGTCTTCCGCCCCGGGGTCTCACCGACGCTCCTGTTTATTCTGGGTAATCTCGCTCTCATCTCCGCGTGGCTTTGACAGATGGTTACGGGCACACAATAGCATTAAGACTTTGATTTTTCTGCCGCGTGCTACACAACAAACAGCCATCAGAGCAGCCGAGTGTGTCGGCGGGCAGCGCGTGTGTTTAAAAGCACATCTGTGTGTTTGGTCTGCTGGATCTCGGCCCTCACACACCCCCTGTGGAAGGTAAACTACATTAACCTTGCTCGCTGTTATTAAAATGATGGATTCGCCAGGTTTACCTTTTTCTTCTCGACGCACACACACACGCTGGTGTCGTGGTTAATATCCGGGCGTGTGGTGGCAGTGGTGTCATTTTTAAAGCGGGCGTCGGGTGTCAGCGAGCGCTCAGAGATGATGCATAGAGGTAAATAAGGAGGGTGAAATTAGCCCTCCTGTCAGCGTACCTCTCGCCCTCGGGCCGGGGGAAATTGACTGCACGCTAGATTTTCAAAATTAGCCCTTAATGTTGGCCTGACAAACGGGGGCTTCATAATGCTTTCCCGTGTCATCCGCAAGGAATCCATCATCACCTTTCCCCCTCACCCCTCTCTCGCAGCGCTCCGTAATTCGGTAATAAGGTGAGAGAGAGCGAGAGAGGTACAATGCCACATCATTTATATGCAGGCGTCGCGCAGGTATTTCCCCAGAAGGGATTTGCTTTGTAATATCGGCTGCCATTTTTATGGGTGGAAATCGGCCAGGATGTTTTGGGTGCTAAATGTGTCTGCTACTACATAAAAATATCAAGCGCTGAAAAATTGTTTGCTGATCCAGATGATAACCCCTAATGGCACTCGCATAAATAAATCAAGATTTAATATTCTAATGTTCCCTCATTTGAATATCCCCTTTTTATGGATACCTGGAATGCCCATATATCTGACGCGCCTGTTCTGAGGATCGCACAGCTTACGTACTTATTTCAAGGTTATATGTTTTATGACGTTATTTGGCCTGAATTTGGACAGGCTTCTGAAATAAAAACGGATTTCTTGGATTTTTTGAGCTTCTAACCCATATTCATTAACAAAACAATTCACACATTCATCTCTGACCGTTTCTCTCATAAACTGATCTGAATATTATCCTAATGTTTTCCATCTCGCATATAGAAACAAACAGATATCCCAGAGTTTAGAATAAGGCTCTTAAAAATAAAGCTTTAAGAAAGAACAAAAATAGGTTTTAGAGTCCGATGCCATAGTATAAGACATAGTAATATATATATAATAATAATATAATAATATAATCTATACAGAACCAGAACATCTCCCCTTAAACAGATACAATGGCACATTTTACCATTGTTGTAGTACTGGAGACTCGGACTCGTCTCGGAGACCATATTTTAATGGTCTTGGTCTTGTCATGGACTCGTGTCCATTTGGACTCGGAATTGACTCGTACTCTAACATTTTTTTTAGGACTCGGACTTATTCCCGAGTCCACTCGAGTTCAATTCAAAATATTTTTCATGATAATTAGTGTATGTTAATAAAATATTTCTTTAAATTGATTGACACGCCCAGTGATTGGTGATTTTCTAGTGCGCAACTGCGCATGACAAATTGTAATAAAATTACTTTTAACACCACCTACTATGTGGCCTTTTTACCCTAAACTGATCATATTTTTTAAACTCTAAGTAAATTCAGTAAAAAAAAAAAAAGGATTTCTCTAGGTAAATAAAAGTAAATTAGGTAATCAACCCTCACTGGTCTCGGTCTCGACTCGGACTCGACCGTCTCTGGTCTCGGACTCGACTCTCTATGGACTCGGTCTTGACTCGGACTCGAGTGAGGTGGTCTCGACTACAACACTGCATTGTACTGTACTGTACAAACTGAAATCAATAATCATCAGTAGATCACAGATGTTGCACTTTTATACTGCTATTTTAAAGGCTTCTTTAATTTTCTTATAATAATATACATTTCACATTACCTCATTTCTCAGTGTCTGAAACAGTTCATCCGAAGATTCAGTCTCTCTAAGCCCCGCCCCTCTGAGAGGTGCTCTGCTCTGATTGGTCTGAAAGCAAACGCTCATTATCATATCTGAATCTCACAGTGATACGAACAGTAGCGATGGCGTGGGTTTCCCCATATCAATCTCATCAAAGTGGATTTGCTTCGTCAGCAGAGAACAGCGTCTCCTCGACACGAACAACACGAGCCGAACTCTCCCAGTCTCAGATACGCTAGTGTTTGAGGGCGGAGCTAAGAGACGCTGCTCAGCCAATCAGGACCACAAGCTGGCATTATGCTAATGAGTTACACACCTACAGGATCAGCAGGAAGTGAATTACTGACGACTCGTTTCACTTCAGAATCACTTCTTTCTTTTAGAAGAATTTGATCTTTGAAAGTTTTCAGTCATTTTACATTCAGCTTTAAACACTGCATGAAAGGGAATCTTCAAAGAAGCATAATGGGCCACTTAAACCTTTTTTTGAACAACAGTTTTGTGAATACATTTCTATTCTTTTTGTTGGTAGAAAACCAGCTATGATGTGGTGACTTCAAACCAGGACATGATCTCCAGAGAAGGAAACGCAACTCCAGAACCTCGTCCAGCGAACAGAACAGATTCTTTGCTGAATCAATCTTTATTTTTAAGAGTCAACGAAAAGCTCTGCACTCAATAACTCTTAAAACCACACACACACACACACACACACACTTATCCCATAAGATGATGGTCTTGGAGCCGTTTATGTGTCATTAGTGTCAGAGTTTGAGGAGAAACTCGCTGTGATCCAAAGCTCTTCAGTGCTGAGCACAAACACAGACCTGAGCGTTCACACACACATCCACATATGAGATATATTTATTATCTATGAGAAGAGTCCTGGAAATGTCCTCAGGTCTGTGGATTTCATTCGACTCGCACTGCAAACTCACGTAAAACCCCGTTTCTTTGCCATGATTCAGCCTTACATGCAAAATGTGATCATGTCCATGGTTTACACACTCCTTACCATTCATCTAAAAACAGGACAGATACCATTACAGCCAAAAGAAAGTAGGTCACTTGATTATCCGTGATTGAAAGCTTCACTTTGTCCACATGTTGTTATGTTACAGCCTTATTCCAAAATAGATTCAATTAATTATTTTCCTCAAAACTGTCATTTGGACCTTCCCATTGAAGTCCATTATATGGAGAAAATCCTGGAATGTTTTCATCAAAAACCCTAATTTCTTTTCGACTGAAGAAAGAAAGACATGGACATCTTGGATGACATGGGGGCGAGAAAATTATCAGCAGATGTTTTTTAAAAAGTGAACTAATCCTTTAAAGGCCTAAAGTTTTATTTAGCAAGCATTTAACCACTGACATCATAGATGGAAAAAAACAAAAACAAAAAACGTTTACAACCAATTGACCATAGGAAATATCAGCCCATTCTCATCCCAAGGCGTCATTTACTGATGCTTTTGACAATGCGTATACATCCAACGCACATGACACCCTTTAGCGTCAAAATGAGACGCAGATATATATGGGCCAGACGGCGCCTCCAAGTGGTCTAACCCTAACTCTACACCAGACCTAAACCTGCCCATAACCGAAGCGTGTTATATTGACGCTAAATGTGTGTTGTATGTATACGCATGGTCAAAAGCGTCACTATATGACGCCCTAGGATGAGAATGCATTGGAAATATATGATTTTCAAAGCTTTTTGATAGTTATAGCGCCACCTATGGTCCGATCTCCATGAAACTTTGCATGCTTCTTTAGTATGTTGTTCATCAATTTTTGTGAAGTACTGAGTTTTCAGTGTTGAGAGTGTATTTTGTCACGGCCCTTTTCTAAAAGGTGTCACGGCCACCCAAATGCAAAAGTTCAACTTTTTGTTTTATAATTATTGATCTAGATTGATCTGGTATGGTTCTGATTGGGTGAAAAACCAAGGACTAGTTCGCAAAAGTAGATTTTGGACCAAATTCGACAAAGCAGAAATGTTTTGCTATCTAAATCGAAATTTGATTCTAAGTCAAGCGGTCTAGGAGTTATAAGCAATTTAGTACTTTTGGTTGCTGTAGCGCCACCTGTGGGTCAATCGGGCTCATACTGATAGGTTTTCCCCAAACTGAGGCCTACCTTCTGGCCAGGTTTCAAGTCTCCAGCTCTTACGGTTTGGTCTGCACGATCAGTGCTTGAACCCCTAATGAATGCAATGTGTAAAAGGTGGAGCGCTGGCTGTGAATGGTTTCCGGATGCTCTGTAAATGCAGGTCTATTGCTCACACACACGGCAGATAACAGCCGTGACTCCTGTTGTAGATCCACAGATATTGGGGTTTGGAACGCGAGTAAATAATGACCGAGTCTGAACTTCTGGACGGATAAAAGCCTGAAGACTGATGTTTCATTACTGGGCCCGAAAGCCTCTGGAGTTCACGTGGATGTCGAGTTCTGCGCTGAAATATGATGTCTCCCTGCGAGGCGGTTATCACGGCACAGAGCTGGGCTTCACAGACGTCTGTCAGGGTTATTGATACCCCTCGCTGCGGGACTGTGTCTTCTGGTTGAATGTCAGCCGTGTAATAACACAATAACTAGAAAAAAACAAAGTACTTCTGCTGACAAAGCATTTATTCTGTCAACAGGCGCTGTCACGGTTTGATGGCGCAGGTGCTGATAACGACGGCAGGGAATCCTGGGAAAGCAGGACGGCCTCGGGCGCTATAGTCCACACCAATAAACTAATTACAATAAGTCATGGTCAATAATTATAAAAGAGCGGCCACGGCAGTCGAAGTAATGACACGCAGAAGAGCGGCGGAAAGAAACGTAAAGGTAAAGCTAATTGTGTCTGATAAGGCTGCGGTTAAACTGCAGTTCGGGAATGAGAGGCTCCAGGCATGAGATTCACATTAAAACAATTACCTCCCATAAAACACGTGAAATTCACAGAACAAACGGCTGAAAGTGTGTTATATAGATCACACGTTTAGGAGAATCACATAAGTGTTTCTTTACTTATTTATTTTGAGAAACCAATTTTACTATGAAACATCCGACTCAAAATGTGTGAAGCTGAACTCGTTCACACACAATATATTAAACATGGCATTTTAATGCAAATGTTGAATGTTGTATATGAAATACAGCTATTTAAATATTTGTTTATTTTATTCATTCATTTTACATGAATGTAATTTTTGACATTTTTATTTAAATATGAATAAATTCTAAGGGGCAAAGAGATGGTGAAACATGAATAATCTTGATCAGTTGTTCAGGTGTGTTTGATTGGGTGCATTTAGATCACCGAAAAAAGTGACTTATCCATAAGAATGATAGCTGGTATCCTCGTCTCTGCCAGCGCTAATGTGCCGTTGTTGCAGATGCGCAGACGAAGCCGCCGTTTAATTAGCAGAATCGCGTCTCCTTGAGTCTCTGACCTTATTTGTTTGCGCCGAGGTAATTTCAGTATGGCGTGCGATTCCCTGAGCTCCTGGTGTTAAGGCAAACGCTGGCAGGAGACGGGCGAAGGATTTGGCACTGGACCGCTGAACGGAGAAGCCGCGGGAACAATACGACTCTTTCATGTTGACAAATTCCATTAGCGAGCAAAAGGTTGTGCTTATAGAGCGTTTTATTTATGATAATAGCTCAGCATAAAGTGGAGAAATATCCATCACCTGCCACCTATACAGACACACACAATGGCCTTATGTCTGTCTCTCTGCTGTCAGCTTAGTCTCTCTCTCTATCTCTCTATCGCTCTCTCTCTCTCTCTCGGTTTCAGGTTAATCGCTACAGGGAGGGTGAGTCTGTAGAAGATGTTTTACACTCTCATCTCTGACATTCAGGAGGAGAATCAGTCATGCGGGGAACACAGGAAAAAATCTACAGCAAAAAGACTTTCTTTCCTCACCGTGTGTCATTACACTGTAAAAAATTTGGAGTAGGATTTACTTGAAAAAACCTTGCTAAACGATCTCACTCAGAGTAAAAACCTAAACATAATTATCAGTAGCTTTAATTAAAAATCTTTAAGTTAAATTTACTTGGAATATGGGATTAAGTAAACTTTACAAAAAAATGAGTAATTTTAACTCGGCTAGTAAAAGGTTGATAAATATCGATTTCCTTTGCCTTTGTATTACATTTCACTAAAACAAATCTCGTATTTTATTAGTCATTTATAGTATGTGCTTTACTTAGATCATCTAGGTAATTTATATATACATCATGTCAGACTTTAAGCCTCATGTGAATGCAAACACCTCAATACTTGGTAGACAATACACAATGGCGGTAACATTTGATGGGCCGTTTTTGTGTTTGAATGTGTCATTTTGAGCAAAAAAATGTACTCGAAATGTCACAAAATGGCAATTTACTAATACTGACAACAAAAATCAATGATAAAACAGTGTAAATACAGCTGGAAACCAGTGAAAAATGAGCCTCATTAATTATTCAAGGTCCAGTGCATGATGGGAAACCCAGTATCAGAAAAGTTGAGTAATTTTTACTTCATTGTTTTGAGTTTATATTTACACTTTCATTTCTACTCGCTTGAAATTAAGTACTGATATGGAATTTACTTAGTTTTTTAAATTCTTGCCTAAACTAACTTTTTCAAGTAAATTACATTGGGTTTTTTCACTTCACCAAAAAATCTTTTTTTACAGTGTAACTGCACCGTACAGTAAGGACAGTGCGCTCAACATCTGCTAATGCTTTATTTAGAAGCTCTCCATCAGATATTCTACTGACTATCAGTATCTTTGTAATTACATCAACTTTTTCTTGCCACATAAAAAAGTGCTTTATGAACACCAGAGAAAAACACTGTTATAGTCCAGTCAAAGGTCAAGAGCCCAACTAAACAAACACCGATCACCATAATGGTGACTACAAAAGTTATTATTTCCAATAAAACATCTAAACCTCTGATCATTCTCAACAAGAACTTCAGTACATGTATGAAATAAACTGGTTTCAAACTCAGTGTGGCTGTAAATCAGGTGTGTTCCTCTTTTCTCTGGTCTGTCCTTGCGTGAATCCGTGAACTTTATTAGTGAATAGGGAATAAGGTTAATTTACAGTATACTCTTACAGACACTCTCTCGAAAATGACAGATATTAACCAGAATACATTATTTTTCAGTTTTAGTGGATGAGTTTGGCCGGGTTTTTTTTACACCAAGGTTTAACGGTGAGTAGAATGACTATAATGGACCATAGAAATAAAGTGTAACCATATTTTTCATTCTTAGGTCGTGTTGTTATCTAAGGTGAAACATCAGTAACCCATAAAGATACAGAGAGCAACAAGTTTTGCTTTATAGTTCCTCTCACAGAGGGATTTTAGACAGATTCAATGAAGAAATTTCAGCCGTTGCATTGCATCAGTTGCAGAGAAAGGCTTTTAATGAAACAGAAATACTCATGGCAGAGA